TTCCTCTCCCCAGTAGTTGTTGTTGGAGATTTTGTCAAAGATGAGTTGGTTGAGGAATTGAAACTTTGCTTCCGGAATCTCTATCATGTTCCATTGGTCTATGTGCCTGTTTTTGTATCAATACCAGGCTGTTTTGGTTACTGTAGCCTTATAGCAGAATTTGAAGTCTGGAAGTGTGATACCTCCTGTTTTGTTTCTCTTGCTAAGGATTGTTTTGGCTATTCCTGGTCATTTATGTTTCCATATAAATTTCTGTATTGTCATTTTCAGATCTGAGAAGAATGATGCTGGTAACTTAATGGGTACTGCGTTGAATCTGTAGATTGCCTTTGGCAGGATGGACATCTTAACAATGTGGATTCTTCCTATCCATGAGCATGGAATATTTTTCCATTTGTTTGTGTCTTCTTGGATTTCTTTGAGCAGTGTTTTGCAATTCTCATTGTAAAGGTCTTTCACTTCTCTGGTTAGGAAGATGCCGAGGTATTTCATTTTTTGGGGTGGCTATTGTGAATGGGATTGTGCTTTTTATTTGGATCTCTGCCTGCTTGCTGTTGGTATATAGGAGTGCAACTGACTTTTTCACGTTTATTTTGTACCCTGACCACATTTTCCTGCTTCTCTACATGCCAAATTGTAGCTTTTCACTGTAACATTGTGGATGCTATGTAATTGGGAGTGTGGAATTTTTTTTTAAATCTTCCTCTTCCTTCAAGGACTGTTGAGTTTTTAGAAGGCATTTCTTTATTGGTAGAGCAGCTTTAGTTTGTCAAGTCTTGTTATTAGTCTTTGTTAGGATGAGACAAGAGTAGCTCTTGGGATTAACATACAGAATATGTAAGAAACTCCAAAAACTAAACATCAAGAAAATAAATAATTCAATTTAAAAATGGACAAAAGACCTGGACAGCATTTCTCAAAAGAAAATATGCAAATAGCTAACAGAAATATGAACAAATACTCAAAATCACTAATCATTAGGTAAATGCAAATTAAAACCACAATGAGATATAATCTCACACTTTTAGGATGTATACTATCAAAAAGACAACAGATAAATGTTAGAAGGAATGTAAAAAACAGGAAACCTCATGCACATTGGTGGGAATGTAAATTAGTATAGCCATTAAAAAAAAACCTGGCCATTCTCTAAGTAGTTCCCAAGTACAGAACTATCATATGATTCAGCAGTCCCGCTAGTGTGTATATATCCAGAGAAAATGAAATCAGTATTTCAAAAAGATATCTGTACTTCACATTCACTGCAGTATTATTCACCATAGTCAAGATAGAAAAACAAGTAAGTGTCCATCAATGGATGAATGAATTAAAAAATGTGGTATATATAAACAATAAAATACAGCATATTATTCAGTCATAAAAAAAGGAAAATCCTGTCATTTGTCAGAACATAAATGAACCTAAAGGACATTATATTAAGTCAAAAAAGCCAAGCACAGAAAGATAAATACTGTATAATCTCACTTATATGTGAAATGTACAAAAGTTGAACTCAGAAGTAGTGAGTAGAATGGTACTTGCTACTTGGGGTTTGGGGTGGGGTTGAAAAGAGGTTGACGCAAGTATTCAAAATTTCAGTTAGATAGGAGGAATAAGTTGAAAAGATCTGTTATACAAAATGGAGACTTTAGTTAATAACAATGTATTGAATTCTTGAAAATCACTAAGAAAGGAGATTTTAAGTGTTTTCATCACAAACAATGATGAGCATATGAAGTAATACATACATTAATTAGCTTAACTTAGCCATTCCACAATGTACATTATTTCAAAACAACATACTGTATAAGATAAATATATCAAATTAAGGGGGAAAAAAGAGTAGCTTTTACTCTAGAGCTTGAGTAATTTTTTTTTTTTTTTCTTTTTTTGAGTTGGAGTCTCACTCACGGCCACCCAACATGGACCTACTGGGATCTGGCAATCCTTCCGCTTCAGCCTTCCAAGTAGCTGGAACTACAGGCATGCACTACTACACCCAGCTAATTTTTTATTTATGGTAGAGACGAGGTCTCGTTAAGTTATCCAGGTTGGTCTCAAAACTGTGGGCTCAAGCAATCCACTTACCTCAGCCTCCCAGTGCTGGGATTACAGGCTGAGCCACTGAGCCCAGCCAAGTGATGCTCTTAAAAGATCTAATGTTCTGGGGTCTTACTGAATGTTTAGTCCCTGCACTCACTGGAGAATTCCATTGTTTCCTTGTACTCAGTGATTTTTAGCAACCCTGTTCATCTCACAGACTTCCAGTGGCTGTTCTTTGCCAAGCCCCACAGAGTTTTACCCCAAATACAGCAACTCAATTTTTGACCAAAGGCTCAAGGACTCCCGATTGCCAACTTTGAGAGATACTTCTCTGAATAGCTTCCTACTCTCCAATACTTTGCCCCACAATCTCAGCTGTCTCACCAGCCCTATACGCTAATTTCTCTCTCTTTCTCTCCCTCTCTCTCTCTACTCTCATGTGAAAACGTTTCTTTTTGTTTAGGTTCTACTTTTCCTGTGATGCTGCTTAGACAGTATCCCCAGAGAGACAACCAGGGAGATTCCAAGTGTACATTTATGTGTTCCCTTCTCTGAAGGACCACAGCCTTGTTCTGTCTGCTGTCCAATGTATAAAAAAGGTTGCTCAATTAACAGTTGTTTACAGCAAAAGGGTAACTTTGATACCTTTTACTCCATGATAGCTATAACTGGAAGTCACTATTAAAACTTTAAAATTTAAAACAGCATAGAAAAAAAAAATAGTTTCCAATTAACCAAAACTCAACCAAGGGAATTTAATAAGTAGTTAAAATAAAAAAGTAGGCAGGAATGTCAGTATACTGATGTGATTTTCCATGACTTTTTCTTAGAATCAGAAAAAAATGTCAAGAGTCATGTCATTTTTTATTCATTATCATTTTTCACTGATAGGACAGTGAACACAAAACATCTTTATTTCTTCCTAACCAAAGTCTAATTTTGTGTTCAACCCTTAGTGCCTGATTTATGATAAATCAACTATACCAATAATGATGTTCCTCCTTCACTTTGCCAGATACTCAATGTCCTAGTCTCTCTTGATCAAAACACATGGCTGTGTTTTGATCAATGAGATATCAAAAAAGTTTGCTAGAGAGTGCCCTAAAATGGCTTTTAAAAAAATAATAATAATAAATGGAATAGAGGAGGCTGGCCCCTTTCCTATTTTAAATGTGTGTCTCTTCTAACTACAGTACACATGCGAATGAAAAGTTCATACCCTAATTATAGCAAAGGAGAAAAAAACAAAAGATCTTGTGGGTACATAATGACATCACTGAGCAATTAAACCATTACAGCCACTGACTGCCTCTGAGAAAAAAATAAAACCGGCCAGGCACAGTGGCTCAGTCTGTAATCCCAGCACTTTGGGAGACCGAGGTGAGAGGACTGCCTGAGCCCGGGGTTTGGGACCAGTCTGGGCAACTTGGTGAGACCTCATCTCTACAATAAATCCCGGAAATCTAGCCAGGCATGGTGGCATGTGTTTATAGTTCCAGCTACTTAGAAGGCTGAGGTGGAAGGATCGCTTAAGCCCAGCAGGTCGAGGTTGCAGTGGTTGTGAGCATTCCACTGTACTCCATCCTGGGCAACAAGAGTGAGACTCCAACTCAAAAAAATAAAAAATAAAATAAAGTACCTATTTGTTTAAACCACTCAGTCTAACATTTTCTGTTTCCCTAATAGAAAGAATTTCTGATTAATTAATGCACATATCATTTGTTCTTTAGACTAAGAAGAGTTTGCAGATTAGATGTAGATAGTTTTTTTTTT